ACACACACGCATGTCTTTCAGGAAAGTAAAGGTATCCAGTTAAGGAATCTGAAGACCACTGGACAAATGAGACATCTGGAAAAAAAAACAACAAATCATCCAGAAAAAAATGTCACAAGAAATAGAGTAAATTGGCCTATTGGTATACGCATTTCCAACAGGATAAAATTTCATAAATCTTCCCAAATGTTTGTGTCTGCTATTCTTTTCTGTTTTTCTTTTTAAAATTTCAATTATTATATTAATATGTATAATATACATAATTATTAACTTAATAATCATGTATACAATGTTTTATATACCAGAAGAAGATACGAGATCTCATTTCAGATGGCTGTGAGCCACCATATTGTTGCTGGGACTTGAACTCAGGACCTCTGGACGAGCAGCCAGTGCTCTTAACCTCTGAGCCATCTCGCCGTCCATTTCTGCTATTCTCTACACACATACACTGCAAATGTTCGCTTTGTAGTCCCAGTCCAGTTAAAGATTAAAGCTGGCTTTGGAGCTGGAGTGTGGCTCCCTCCTTCTCTAAACACAAGCATGCTTATTAAATTAAAATTCAAAATCTCTGTCTCATGTCAGAAGAGTCACCTGATATGGGACAGAAAAAAACCCAAATATTTAAGGACTATTTTATTGCCACTAATCTCATAATCTTTTGGTTTTATATTGACTCTTTAAAAGCTTTTCTTAAGGTCTAAATATTACGTCAAAATTTATAAGATTAATATACATATTTAAACTTTTTATCATGCTATAAGTGGTCATATAGAGTACTAATTCTAGAAGAAGGTCTCATCTACCTTCCTGTACATGATTTCAGGTTTGAGTCTCTATCAGTTTTCTGCAGTGAACCATGAGCACGCATAACAGCGACCTTTGAAGTCTCCAAAAAGAAGATGGGGCCCCACAACAACAATTCCTCCAGGACTATGATGATAACACCACTAAGCTGAAAAACACCACCTAAAGATAGGTTTTGGACTACAGACTTCTCAGAAAAACTTCAAGGTGGCTAGCTGAGATGATCCAGCCTCACAGACTACTCTAGCCAGGACTTGAGACAAGGCCTGCACCTTCCCCATTCTGCAGAGACTGGACAACAGATGATAAAGCTATCTCTCCCAGGACTTGACAATTAACCCAAATCTTTCTTTTCAGGGTCCCCTAAAGATACCTTAGGCCCCAGACAGCAGGAAGTAAACTTAAGAACACAACACCCACATTCCCAAGAGTGGGGTGGGTGGTTTTTGGTTGTTCAGTAGGTTATGGATATCTGTCATTGTTGGGGGTTGGTTACAAGTTGTTATTGGTTACAGTCAGGAGGAAAGTTAAACAAAGATTAGATTTAGAGTTCTTATTTTGAAAAAAAAAGTGAGGCCATAGATATGATAGGATATAAGGTAAATTATTTTTTTAATTGATTTTATTGAGCTATACATTTTCCTCTGCTTACCTCCCTTTCCTCTCCCCTCCCTTTCTACCCTCTCCCATGGTTCCCATGCTCCCAGTTTAGTCAGGGGATTTTGTCTTTTTCTACTTCCCATGCAGATTAGATCCATGTATGTCTCTCTTAGGGTCCTCATTATTATCTAGGTTCTCTGGGATTGTGAATTGTAGGCTGGTTTTCTTTGCTTTATGTCTAAAAGCCACTTATAAGTGAGTACACATGATGTTTGTCTTTCTGGGTCTGAGTTACCTCACTCAATAAAATGTTTTCTAGATCCATCCATTTGCCTGCAAATCTCAAGATGTCATTATTTTTTCTGTAAATGTACCACATTTTCCTTTAAAAGGTAGATTATTAAGTCTACTTTTAAACCACAAAAGCAACTACTAAGTTTTCAATATTTTACATTGGCTTGGATTTTTTTGTATATTGATACGAAGTTGACATTATTTTTGTTAGAACATACTTTACATACATTTCTGATCTTGTTCAATGTATGGTATCTATGCAACTCATTTAACAATGTAATGCAAATGAAAGGTATTATTACCAACTATTTAAGATAATAAGGAAATGCAGGTTAGCAATTAGTCACCTATTAAAATTGAACTGTGAAGGAGAGCATGATGAGGTGACTCAGTTGTCATTTTCAAGCTGGGCCTTGCTCTCAAGGACACAGGGCACTTGACACACTCATCCCAACTTCAAGCCTGCAGACAAAAATTAACCAGCCTCTTTCCCCAGCTCCCTTTAAGATGCCAGGTTCTCCCCTGGGCCAGTCTCTGTGATCCCATCCTTCCATGCAACACTTAAAGATTTGTTTATGGGAGAGGGTTGAAGGGGGGGGGGAGAGGCAGAGAGGGGAGCAGAGAAAAATGTAGAGCTCAATAAAAAATTTAAAAAAGATTTATTTACTTACTTTAACGTACAGTCATTTGCATGAGTTTTTGTGCATCGGGTGCATGCAGGGATCATCAGAGGTCAGAAGAGGGCTTCAGGTCTTCAGGAACCAGGGCTATCGGCAGCTGTGAGTTGTCATACTGATGCTGGGAACTGAACCCTGGACCTCTGTAAAAGCATTAGATTCTCCTATCCGCAGATGCAGCTTTCCTGCCCACCATTGATGTTTAGGACCTTTGCCTGTGTTTACAACCATTGGGTGTGAAATTAAAACCCCAATCAGAATCATTAGTGTGGACTACTAGGTGATCAGAGGCCTGCAGGATCACAACCTTGGTCAGAGGCCTGCAGGGTTGCAACTGTGCTGTGAATTTCGGTTTCTGATGTGAGAATCAAGGAAATCAGAGCAAACATAACGGGAGTGTGGTGTGGGAAGTCCTTTTGTCTCTGTGTTGCTTTTATTGGCTAATGAATACAAATATTTCAGCCAGTGGCTTAGCAGAATAGAGGTAGGCGGGGAAAACTAAACTGAATACTGGGAGAGAATAGGCGGAGTCAAGAGAAGCCACATAGCCCTGCTGGGAAAGAGACACCAGATAGAACCTTGCCCGTAATCCACAGCCATGTGGCAATACACAGATTAATAGAAATGGGTTAACTAAAGATATAAGAGCTAGCTAGCAACATGCTTAAGTGATTGGCCAAGCAGTGATTTAAGCCATATAGTTTCTGAGTGATTATTTCGAGTCTAGGCAGCCGGGAACAAACAAGGGAACTCCTCCAACAGGAGTGTCTCTCTTCTCTTAGCTTCACTCTGGCAGAGAACACAATGATTGTGGCAGAGATAAAAAAAAAGGCTTCATGTGAGGGGACGCTAGAATGAAAATGGACCCTTGACCTCCTTTTGGCACTGCTGTGGCTAGAACCCAAGACCTTCTGCACTCTGGCGGGCACTCTGTTTACACCAAGACTGCCTTGGTTGTTCAGTTCATGGAGAAATGATGCCTAGCCTTTCAGCTGCGAAGGCACAGACGGAACAATGGGTAGCGCTAGTGTTTGCTGAGTCTTCCGTGGCCACCAAGTCCTTACTGTGTGAAACGTCGTTTAGCGATTTCAATAACTCTGTGAGGTACACAATACTAGGGTTCTTGTTTTACAAGTAAAAAATAGCCAGGCAGTGGTGGTGCCTTTAATCCCAGCACTCGGGAGACAAAGACAGGTGGATCTCTGTGAGTTTGAGGCCAGCCTGGTCTACAAAGTGAGTTTCAGGACAGGCTCCAAAGTGTCCCCTCTCGCCGCAGGCCTTGGAGCCAACCTCTCTGGCACAGGCACAAGCACTTTGGTTCATTCTGGATGGCACAGGGTATTAAAAGTGCCAGGTGGCAAGCTTTGGCATAAGAAATTAAGACTGGAAGTAGATGGTTGCCATGCTCTCACCGTGAGGATAAGCATCACAAGGAGGCAGGGGATGCGGCTCAGTGGAAGAGCACTTACCTAGTGTGTGCAAACCCTCAACACTTGGGAAAAAGGGGGCAGGGGTAGGATTGAGGCAGGCAAATCTCGGGGAGTCAGAGGCCAGCCCAGACTACATAGCAAGTTCCAGGCCAGCCAGGTCTACTTAGAGGCCCTGTCTTTAAAATAAATAAAAGTGAAATGAGGTTGAAACTGAGCACTGTTATCCAAAATATTGGTGACTTAAGCTGGGTGGTGGTGGTTTACACCTTTAATCCCAGCACTCAGGAGGCAGATGCAGGTGGATCTTGTGAGTTCGAAGCCAGCCTGGTCTACAGTCTGAGTTCCAGGATAGCCAGGGCTACACAGAGAAACCCTAGTGAGAAAAACTAAAAGGACCCTCTCTTACAATCAGCTGATTAACTAATCAACAAATAAGCAAACATAAGCATGTAGTTGTTTTTTTTTTTTAAACAAATAAACAAAAAAAACCTTGGTGACTTGAGCCCACCCAGGAATGCCAGCCCTTGGTTTTAGAGTTGGGGAATGGCTCAGTTGGCAAAATGCTTGCCACATAAGCATGAGGATGAGGACTTGAGTTTGATCCCTATATAGACACAGAAATACAGACAGCAGTGGTACCCACGTGAGACCCCAAGTGCCTAGGAGGCTGAGACAGGAGGATCCCAGGGGGTTTGCTCGGAAGCCAGTCTATCCAAATCAGTGAGCTGCAGGCTCGGTGAGTGACTACCTCAGAGACTAAAGTGGAGCGTCAGCCTGCAGTCTCCACATGTATGTGCACACGCATGCGCACACACCCTGTAAGTGTGTGGGCTTCTGTGCAGAAAACCTCTTCAAAGAGGCCATGGTTTCGTGACTTACTGGATAGTTCTCCTATAGGGACGATCCCCCTGATCCAGAAGATACACGGACTGTTGGCAGATCATTCTGAACGAAGAGGGTCCTTTGTCTCAGATCTAGGTCGCCTTCACAGCTTTGCGCCTGTATTATTTTGGGGTCTCAGGTAAAAGTGCTATGGCTCCCATAGGTGACCCCAAGGTATCATCTTCTTAGGGTGGCCTAGGAATAGTCCTGTGGGTACAGGGGGACTCTGGTCCCCAGGTGGGAGGCTGCAGGATCCCAGTTTAGACCAATATGTTGTGCTCTTTTGGAAAGAAGCCATCCAGCCAGCGACTTCAGAATAGACAGGCTCTTTAATCACACAGTGAACAATGACAGAGTTGACATCAAGGGGGCCAACAATCACGTTTCAACAAACCTTGAAGGACGGAGATCATGTGGATCATTCTTACTATGATACACAGACAGTTAGAAAGTGCATGTGATGGAAGTGGGAAATGTACATTTAATAATCCATGGGTCATGCGTCCCTTCACTCAGTCATCCCAACAGTTTGTAACACAGCCCCTCCCATGCGGGGACTGAGGTTGGGAAGACAACAGAATCTGCCCTGATTCCTGCAGTGGTGGAGCCAGAGTGAAGCCCTGCTGTGTGGCTGTAGAGCCTCGCCTCTGAGAGAGAGAGAGAGAGAGAGAGCTTCCTGACTGACTTGCTTTGGTAGCCCTAACTCTGGACTACTGCGCAGAGATCCACTTCCCTTCTGAACTTGCCCTCCTAGGGTTCCCTCCTTAGACTCGGGTGACATACATGTCTTGTATGGCGGAGATACAGTTCAAGGTGGGCCTTCCCACAGAGCTTGGAACTCTGGGAAGACTACCTTTCTTCCCCAAGATTTCCATGTGGTTCAACAGGACTAGCAAACAAAGGGAAACAAAGAGAAGCCATTTCCAGAGCGTTCCCCGGCTTGCTCTAATGCAGATTAAACAGACTGCGTATTACAGCATGTCGTTAGGCAAGCATGAGCACCAATATTCAACAGGACAGGATGCAGAGTCTGTCTGTTTCTTAAATTTGGGGTGATGGTCCCAAAAAAAAATAAATTAAAAAAAAAAACCCAGATGACTAAAGTACCCATATTTGGAGCAAGTTGGTGGTTCATGGCACAGGAGGTAAGAAGCAAGACCAAGCTGACCTCAGACCTCCCTAGGAACATTCCCACAGCTGAGCTGACCAACCCAGTACCCTCTGGTCTGCGCAAATTGCAGCTTGGCCCCATTAATAGTCCACAGCCTGTCTCCACCTCCTCAGGGTGTTTCCTGACAAGATACACTAGCAAACCCTCAAAGGCGCTCAGCTTCTGAGGGACTCCTTGATCATTCTCTGGGTTCTGAGGACAATACTGTTGGCTCCGCATGGGCTCCTAAGAGTAACAGGACGGAGGGCCCATTACTGTTTCTTATACAGCAGGGAGAGTGAAAAGTGAGAAACCAGAGAGCGACCTCGTGTTGTACCTCACCAGAAGCAGGTGGGGAACACCTGGAGAACAGGTGTCATCAGGTGGAGAACACCAGGAGAGCAGGAGGCAGGTGGGAAACACAGAACAACAGGTGGCAGGTGGAAAACACCAGGCAGGACACCAGGAGAACAGAGGGCAGGTGGAGAACACCTGGCAGGAGAACACCAGGACAACAGGTGACAGGTGGAGAACACCAGGACAACAGGTGGCAGGTGGAGAATAGCAGGACAACACTGGGACAACAGGTGTCAGGTGGAGAACACCAGGAGAGCAGGGGCTTGCATTCAAGAGGCAACGCTAGCCCACGATGAGGAAGCGGACTCACCCAGTCAAGTCTTCACATCCAGGCTTCACTGGGTTCAATCTGGGGCTGGGGGCTCAACCAGTCCCACCCCATGATTTATTCTCTTAGTACAGCCTCAGAAAGTTAACTCACCAAGGGCCGGGGATGTGGCTCAGTTAATATAGTGGCCTAACTTATACAGCAATCTCTGTAAAGTCAGTGCGGAGCAGCAACCACAGATCCATGGGTTTTCCTTGAGGTGAGCAATGGACACCAAAAATACTGGGTGTGGGGGCTGTGGTGGGAGTTGGGGCTAGCAATAATGACACCTATTGCTCCTGATTCCACGTGGTAACTATGGCTGGAACAGAAGAAATGCCCCAAGCCGAGAGAGCGAGCTCTGGCAAGCAGCTAGACACTGTTCTTATTTGAAGTGAACAGGCCCTGGGACAGAGGCGGGGATGACTGTCATCGGGGACAGATCCTCAGCACCTAATACTTCACAGTTACTAACTCAGGTCAGGTTTGATCATCAGCTCTGGATAAAGATCAGGCATAGTGACAATGGGTGTCACTCGGAAGGAGGGTCATCCTCACACAGTAAGTTCAAAGCCAGTCTGGGATACGAGTCTTTGACAAAAAAGAAAAAAAGGAAGGAAGGGAGGGAGGGAGGGAGGGAGGGAGGGAGGGAGGGAGGAAATGTCAGCTTCCCATGAGCCAGTGATTTGTTCCCAAGCTGCTCTGAGCTGTAAGATCAACGATTCCAAGAGCAAAGGGCCCAGCTGCCCAATCAGGAGTCTGATTACACCCTCTCACTCTCTGAGAAAGGATCCTGCCACTAGGTTACAAGTATCCTTGGGCGGTTCCTACGTGGAAACTCAGTTCGAGTGACCTACAAATGGCCAGTTGTGCCTACAAACTGGCCAGATGTGGTGGGCTCCCTCGAATGAGCGCTGGTCCGATGCCTTCCACGAAGCTGTTCCATTGATCGTAGTCCTCCTTCAGGTCTGGGTGGGCACAAACAGGAAGAGGGTTAGCAGACCACTGTAGAGTCAGGTCAGCTTCCACAGGGTCACTGGGGCACCCTAGAGGGGAGCACCTGAGATACCAAAAGGACTGGGTCTGGCGGCCTCGTGGGCAGCTGAGGAGGGAGACCCAGCAGTCAGGGCAGCTGGGTCTACTTAGGCAAGCCCAGAGAGGCTGTGGTAGCATGGTGGCTTCCATTTAAGCAAGAGGGAGGCAGTGTCGTTCAGCAAGAGACAGAGCGAGGGAAGAGGAGCTAGAGGTGTGGGGAGGAAGAGGAGGTGTGGGGAGGAAGAGGAGATGTGTCATCTTCCAGGAGGGCAGGTGGGGGACAGAGAGGAGGAAGAGGAGGTATGGGTAGTTAGCAGGAAGGGAGCGGGATTTCACTGAGAAGGCGGCATCGCTGGGCTCTGGAGGCATTAGGCGGCAGCTGAGAGGCTGCTGGGCCACCTCTGGTTCATTTTAGTCCCCAGTGACAAGGCACCTAGAAGCTTCTTTCCTCTGTAAGGCCAGCGGGTGAAGATACAGCGTCTTTACTCAGACTCTGCTCTCTCTTCTCACCTGGGTCATCACAAGAGCTTCCACGCCACCCACACTCTTGGTTCTCACCTCTCCGCCTCACCCATCCTCCGCCTGTAGCCATCCTCCTGCCTGGAACCTAGGCTCCTCAGGGACTGGGGGCTCAGATCCATGCCCTTCAGCAAACGTATAGGCTGCTGCTCCTGACTTCTGCCCACTTCACTCCCTTCCCCCATCAAGAACCCCCTGTCCTGAGATCAGGAAGTGGGGGAACTTCCCATACTACCAGGCCTTCTGTCTTAGATGACCCCTGTCCCTTCCCTCCCGATGGCCTTTCTTCATCAGTCGGGACCAAAGCCAGATGGTCTTGTCTAGCAGCCCCTTCCCTGGCTTTTCTCCCTTAGTCAGGTCTACCCTCTGGGTGCTCCTAGGCAGTCACTGAGTGCTGTGGTCAGAGACATTGTACACGACACTGTGGCACACAATGAAGGGTGTGGTGATAGACTGTTTGTGATCTAGCAAATAAAACTTGTCTGAAGATCAGAGTGCAGAGCTAAGCCACTAGTTAGCCAGAGGGGCCAGGCAGTGGTGGCACACACCTTTAATCCCAACACTCGGAGACAGAGGCAGAGGGATCTCTGTGAGCTCAAAGCTACCCTTGGCTACATTACATTGATACAGTGTCAAAGAGAAACAGAGCCAGGCAGTGGTGGCTCACACCTTTAATCCCAGTACTTGGGAGTCCCATGCCTTTAATCCCAGCAGTAGGGAGGTGGAGACAGGAGTGATATGGCTGGGCGGAGAGAGGAATATGAAGGCAGGAGGAGATAGGAGCTGGGTCGGATGCAGTCTGAGGATTTGTAGAGACAGGAGCGCCCCTTTGGTCTGAGTATTGGTAGAGGTAAGAACTCTAGTGGCTGCTGCTCTGATCCTTCAACTTTCACCCGCCCGTATCGACTCCAGGTTTTTATTATTAAGAACAATTAGAATTCGTGCTACAGAGGGGCATGGGCTGTGGGGCTACACAGTCAGGCTGCATGCTGGCACTGCCACCAGAACCAGATAACCTGAACAAATTACAGATTAAAGAAAATTTCTAAGCTCTAATATATTCATCTGAAACAATGAAGCTAATAAATAATCAAAGAAACTACTGGAAGGACCATCTCCAGATCAGACACGACAGACAGTGTATCCAGAATACTGAGCATGACAAGTACTGGTGACATCAGAACCCAGCAAGCTTGCTCCAGCCTTGACTCCTGCCACCTCCTCCTCTGCTGGTCTCTCCTTTCAACTCTCTGCTTCAAAGGGAGCTGGTCACACCATCATGGGCTCCCTTGTCACCGTCAGCTTTTTTTTTTTTCTTTTTGAGACAGAGTCTTACTAGGTAGACCAGGCTGGCCTTGAACTCACATAGGATCCACCTGCCTCTGCCTCCCAAGTGCTGGGATTTAAGGCGTGCACCACCACTCATAGATGCCCTGTCGTCTTTAAGTCTTTAATCGTGGGCTCCTATAATGACGTGTGCTCAGGGGAACAGGAGGTGTGAGCAGGACCGGGAGCAGCAGCCACTCAAGCCCTGGGAAGTGGGTCCACCCCTTTCTCTCAGGAGCAAAGGCATGTCTCTGAGCCCCCTGCCAATTTCTAAACTCAGGTAGGAACAGTTCTCTGCTCTTAATTTGCAAGGTGAAAAGAGGAAATACAACCAGAATTGCAAATCTGCCTTAAAGCAGCAATGCGTTCTTAACAGGGCAGGTGTATTTTAAACACGAGCACAACCCAAACCAAATGGGTTGCACACATCGTGGGAAACAGGAATGTATCCAGGCTATGCAGGGGAAGACCTGTGTCCACAGCACAGGGGAGAGCCCCATGTCTACTACAGCATGTTCCAGTCAGGGCATGTCTCTTTAAAAGAGGCCCTGACAAATTGCTCCCAAAGGAAGGCGGCAACAGACTGCATGGGGAAATTGAACAGGGAACCACTGCAGGTCCCCAGGCCATTAGCCTAATGAACAGAGGACATTAGAAGTGACCACAAATATCTAAAGAGCTGCCACGTACTACCTGAAGCTTCTCTGGTCAACTCTGGGGACAACCAGAGCAGCTGTGTGTATGGACGTGCATTTGTGTGTGTGTGTGTGTGTCAGTAATAAGGTATCAGATCTCGCTGGAAGATTACAGTAGTGTGTATATGTGTGGCGTGTGTATATGTGTGTGCACAGAGGTGTGTACGTGCGGGTCTGTGTGTGAATGCATGTGTATGTGTGTGTCGAGTGAGTGAGTGTGTATGTGTGGAGTGTGTGGGTGTGTGGGGTATAAGGCATCAGATCTTGCTGTGAGGTTGGTCCAGGCAAGCCGGGCTGCCTCCTGATGAAAGTGGCTTGGGAGGGGTCAGCTTCATGAGGGTCATGGTGCTTCCCCTCTATGCTAACTGCACTGACAGGGACATGTGATCATGAAAGCTCCAGGCTGGGGCTGGACGGTGCCCCACAATGTATTTCGGGAGGCAAAGATGAACTGACACAACCAAGTACCTCTTTTGGGAATCTAGTGTTAATAAATAATCATAGTAAGTACATAAGCAAATAAAACGAAAGTTTACCCCCCATACAGTGGTGAGCAGTGGAAGCTGAAGAGGAAAGCTGGGAGCCCATAGAGAGAGAACCAGCCGCTGGTGGCCTGAGCTGAGCTGTGACCCACAGGAGAGAGAACCAGGCACTGGTGGCCTGAGCTGAGCTGTGACCCACGGGAGAGAGAACCAGCTGCCGGTGGCCTGAGCTGAGCTGTGACCCACAGGAGAGAGAACCAGCTGCCGGTGGCCCGAGCTGAGCTGTGACCCACGGGAGAGAGAACCAGGCACTGGTGGCCCGAGCTGAGCTGTGACCCACAGGAGAGAGAACCAGGCACTGGTGGCCCGAGCTGAGCTGTGACCCACAGGAGAGAGAACCAGGCACTGGTGGCCGGAGCTGAGCTGTGACCCACAGGAGAGAGAACCAGGCACTGGTGGCCGGAGCTGAGCTGTGACCCACAGGAGAGAGAACCAGGCACTGGTGGCCCGAGCTGAGCTGTGACCCACAGGAGAGAGAACCAGGCACTGGTGGCCTGAGCTGAGCTGTGACCCACAGGAGAGAGAACCAGCCGCCGGTGGCCCGAGCTGAGCCATGTTCTAAGGAAGCAGAAAGTGAGCAGACACCTCAGGACAGAGAGCACAGAAACAATGGAAGAGGCTGAGGAAGACATGAAAAGGTAGACACACACTGAGCCTGAGGGGCAGAGAAAGAAAACCACATCCATCCTTGACTTTGTCACCCACTGGGTCCAGGTGTACCTCAGAAACTAACTTACAGGCTTTCCCCTTCCTTCCTTCCTTCCTTCCTCCCTCCCTCCCTCCCTCCCTCCTTCCTTTTTTTTTGTTTTTTTGTTTTTGTTTGTTTGTTTTTTGAGACAGGGTTTCTCTGTGTATAGCTCTGGCTGGCCTTGAACTCACAGAGATCACCTGCCTCTGCTTCCCAAGTGCTGGGAATAAAGGTGTGCACCACCACCGCTCAGCTCACTTTTTTTTCCCCTTGAGGTAAACTAAACTTCTAGTCTTTGTGGCCCAAAAAAGTTTAATTAGACCATTAGCTTCTTTTTACAATATTTGTGTGTGTGTGTGTGTGCGCGCGCGCGCGTGCTCGTGTGCACATGCCACAGCGAGTGTGTGAGGTCAGAGGTCAGTTCTCTCTTCCACCTTTGTGTGGGTTCTGGGGGTTGAACTCAGGTCGGCAGGCTTGAGGCACAAGTACCATTTACCCACAGAATGATCTCACCAGACCCAAGACGATCACCCCAAACATCCAGATCTCCAGTGGAAAAGCCAGCTTGCTTGTCCACCAAAGAAGACACCCTCTCTGGGTAGAGATAACACCACGGACCTCAAAAGGCTTTGCTATTTAGCTGCTCTATGACTTATGACATTGGTCATAATCCTTCCATGTTTGGTTTCTTTAAAAACAATCTTCCATAAATTTTGCCCAATTATTACCATAAAGAGCCCACAATGCATAAAGTGATGGTAAGTTTGGGGACCAAGGTGGTGGAGGAAAGAGAGGAAGATGTACTGTCCCAGCTCAGAAAGGTCAGGTGACCAGGCCAGGCTCATTCTCTAGTTAGTCAAGGCCTAGGTGAGCAAAGTTTCAGGAAATGACTCTTCAGTCATGTGCCATGACTCTCCTGGGCCCTCGTCGTGTCACGAAAGAACACGGTGCTGCGGGAGACCCAAGGGACCCCACGTGTGCTCCATGAGCCCCAGCTGCCTCCTTACCAAGGTGCTTCTGCAGGAAGGCCAAGATGGCCCGCACCATAACCTCCTGTCCTTCATAAGGGTCCAAGGTCCCACGAGTGTGACTGGATAAGAATTTAGCAAGCAGGTTGCCGTTCACGAAAGCAAAGTCGGTTTGACTCCGATGAACAGCTCCGCTAGAGACAAAGAGAAACGACAGGTAGGAGGGTTGAGATCGGGCACACGTGTGTGCCTACCGTGTGCAACTCTCCCAGCAACCTTGTCGGGAAGTACTTTCCGTGCGACAGAGTCTGAGAAGGAAAGACGTGACACTGGACCGAGCTAGGGTTGGAACCGAGGTGTGCCTGGCTGCACCTGGCTGGATGTCTAGATCGCCATGCCTGACAATACAGGGAAGCAGGGTGACTCCGTAAGAGGGGAGCTGGGAGTGGAAGGTGAGGTTCCCAGCACCTGCTGTTCCTATTACACCACAGCTTTTATCCATGAAACATTTCCCCTATCTGCCAGAACTGCGCCCAGGTTGGCCTTGAACTTTTCATGCCTCTGCCTCAGCTTCCTATGTGCTGGGATTACAGGTGTGCACCAACAGGATCAGCGTGCTTGAGTGACTTTTAGAAGAAGGGCCTATGTTAGGATAACCTCTGTGAACTGGATGATCATGGAGATTCTACAAATCCCCCCAACTGTCAAAGCCTTCTCTAGCCACGGTTTCCAAATCCCCATAGGAGACTAGAGATGTCTGGAATCCACCCAGACCCAAAACACCCATTTTCCAGAAATTACTAAGTAAATCCTACCATGCAGCTACATAAACTCTGTGGGCAGGCCTAAGCAGAGAAGAGAGACACAGGAAACCCTACAGGAATTGTGACATAGGGATTCTAGCAACATTTAGATGCTCTTTGAACATATAGAAAGTTCTGGATAACCTAGAAGAAATGAAGGGAGACCCAGCTGATTAAAAAATGAACAGGACGCAGGGGTCGTGCCTTTGGGGCATACTTACAGGACAGTCACAATCCTGGACTGGTCGTCCTGGGCACATATCTTCCTCATCAAGTTGACGCTCTCCACTGTCTGGAATTTCTCAGCGTTGATAAAGAACACAGGGCCCCGGGCCTTGGGGTAAAAGTCACGTTCCAAAGGGAACATCCAGGCATCCAGGGCCACAGCGCACCTGGGATAAAGCAGATATTTGGAGCTGTCACTGAAACCCAGGCAAGCATACTTAGGGTGGAGGAGGATGGAAAGGGACTCTTCTTTCCCTCGGGTGGATGACTCAGAAACCCACACCCTCCTAAGACAATTTTACACAGTCCCCTTTGCTTGTCCCCAAAGAGCCATCTAGAATTTGCACTCCCCCAGAGCATGGGTCAGATTTCCTTCTCTGGATCTACCCTCAGGTGACACACTCCAGCTCTGCAGAATGTCAGCTCACTCAATCACTGAATTCACTCAATAGTCACTGAGTGGCCACTGTGGCCAGAGCTCTGTGGATGCAGAAATCAGTGAGAAAGGCCGTACATCTCAGGAGCTCCCAGGACACCAGGGGAGAGCGAGACACTATGAAGGTATCAGAACCACAACTCGGAGCTTTGACTCACAGGACGCTACGTCAGCCCAGAGCCTGTGTGGCAGAAAACCCATAACCTTCCTGGTACCAAAAGCAGAACCATGGCACTGAGTCAGAGGTACACCCACTCCACCCCCATCTCAGCAGGGGACAGCTACTGTCCACCTAATGACAGGTGCAACCGCAAAGCTCCGTCTCCCCTTTCCTTGCTCTCATACATCACCAAGGCTCGACAATTCAAATGAATCTGATTCCATCCGTGCTCCCCAACTCCATCTGTGCTCCGACTCCATCTGTGCTCCCCAACTCCATCCATGCTCCCCGACTCCATCCATGCTCCCCCACTCCATTCATGCTCCCCGACTCCATCCATGCTCCCCCACTCCATCCGTGCTCCCTGACTCCACCCGTGCTCCTGATTCCATCCATGCTCCCGGACTCCATCCATCCTCTCGACTCCTTCAGTGCTCCCTGACTCCATCCGTGCTCCCTGACTCCATCTGTGCTCCCTGACTCCATCCATTCTCTCGACTTCATCCGTGCTCCCTGACTCCATCCGTGCTCCCCGACTCCATCCATTCTCTCGACTTCATCCGTGCTCCCTGACTCCATCTGTGCTCCCTGACTCCATCCGTGCTCCCTGACTCCATCCATTCTCTCGACTTCATTCGTGCTCCCTGACTCCATCCGTGCTCCTGGCTCTATCCGTGCTCCCTGACTCCATCCGTGCTCCTGGCTCTATCCGTGCTCCCTGACTCCATCCATGCTCCCGACTACATCCGTGCTCCCCATTCTCTACCCTCATGTGTATTCATCCTCTCTCCATTTTGCTCTCCCTTGCACCACATCCACCTAGCCCTTTGAGCTGCTCTGCTCCATCACAGTTGCCAGGAGGTTCTTTAAAATCTAAGACTGACTGCTCTGTTTAAAATCCTTTAATGGTGTTCTCATTTTATTTTATTATTTTTTTAAGATAAGGTCTTCCTTAGGCTTGCCTTGAACTCTGTGATCCTCCTGCCTCAGCCTCTATATAGCACAGTGACATGGGTATGTAGGTCACATCTCTTGGCCTGTTTATTTTCCTTCATTGTACTTAGTGCTACGAAGTTGCTAGTCACTTTCCTCCCCCAACAATGTAATCTCTCGAAGTCAGACCTTGTTCAGCTGGTCAGACAGTCCCCAGAACACAAACCTTGTGTAACATATCCCTGCTGAATGAATGAATAAATGAACAGTGTATGACATGCCCAGGACATGACCTTTGTGTAACACATCCCTGCTGAATGAATGAGTGAATGAATGAATGGTGTGTGACGTGCCCAGAACGTAACCCTTGTGCAACACATCCCTGCGGGATGAGTGAATGAATGAATGAATGAACGGTATGTGAAGCTTGATGGCATCAGCGTCACCGGTACTCACCGAAACCGGACCTCCTGGGTCAGAGCAAGAACGGCTGTAGCTCCTCCAAAGGAGTGCCCCATCACGGCCACCCGGCTCATGTCGATGCCGTCCTGAGGAAACCAGGGAACTTAGCTGAGCAGACACTCACAGAGAAGCAGCTGTAAGGGAATGAGGTGAGGCGCAATGCCACTGAACCTGCACCATCTGCGCCTCCGGCCAGAGGAGGACGGCACAGCACTGAGGCAGAACTGATGTGGGATTTCCCTCTGTATGCTGTGATCCTGCTTCAAGAGGAAGATGGGCATTGAAGAGGCTCCTTATGGAGTTTGTCAGTCATTTGGGCAAGAAACTGCTCTTGCCTGGACTGCTTGATAAACTGGGCATGTGGGAACCATAATGAAATGACTGCTGAACTTGCCTAAAGGTGAGACCATCCTTCAGGGTCCCTGCTACACAAAAGGGTTTGCCAAATATTCTGCAGGACACAGAAAAATGTGACAGACAAGCTGCCAATATAAGTGGAACTGTCTATGAAATTTCCTGCTTCACAGACAAGTCTGCTGGATACTATGAGCCTGTGAGCTGAAGATGGATGCCCCAATGGTACACAAGAACTTTGGGTGAGGGCTGGAGAGATGGCTCAGTGGTTAAGAGCATTGCCTGCTCTTCCAAAGGTCCTGAGTTCAATTCCCCGCAAACACATGGTGGCTCACAACCATCTGTAATGAGGTCTGGTGCCTTCTTCTGGCCTGCAGACATACATGCAGACAGAATATTGTATACATAATAAATAAACATTTAAAAAAAAAAGAACTTTGGGTGACTGTCCAGGCAGTGAGATGTCTCTGTCAATTCTAGAGTTTTGGAAGTTGCTTACAACACACTTCCTGTTTACTTAGATAATATTATAACCTTCTGGAGTCTTTGGAGGAGTTGAAGAATTTATAGTTATAGTTACAGTTTTCCTTAGTTACAATAAAAGATAAAATAGATATAAATATTGTAACTGTAATTCTTGTTTTATACCTGTTTTGTCATATGTAATTTTACTATGTTATAGTTCAAACCTTTCTTTTTTAATTTAAACAGAAAAGGGGAGGTGATGTGGGATTTCCCTCTGTATGCTGTGATTACCATTAATGAATAAAGAAACTTCTTTGGACTTATAGCAGGCAGAATTTAGCTAGGCATGGAAAACTAAACTGAATGCTGGGAGAAAGAAGGGCAGAGTCAGAGAGACACCATGTAGCCCTGTCGAAGACAGACGCCGGAACTTTAGCAGGTAAGCCACAGCCACATGGCTATACACAGATTAATAGAAATGGGTTAAATTAATATAAGAGTTAGCCAATAAGAAGCTAGAGCTAATGGGCCAAGCAGTGATTTAATTAATACATTTTATGTGTGATTATGTGAATTATTTCTAAGCTAGCTGGGCGGCCAGGAACCAACTAGCGGCCCTCCCTACTACACAACTGGTCCCTAGTTCAGGACCAGCCTGGGCTACATAGTGAGACATTGTCACAATTAAAAAAAAAGAAAAAGAGGAATCTCTGGTCTCTGGGGTGTAGCTCAGTGGCAAAAAGCACAGAAAAGCCTACAAGTTTGACACCCAGCATGGCAAAGAGAAGCAAAAGAGGACTAGGGGACTTTCTGTCACCTGAAGAGTTCCCTTTCTTTTGATCTTTGGTGTGAGCAACCTTAAAGGGACTATGCTTTTTGGTTTTGTTTTGAGACAGGGTATTTTTTGCTGGTTGTGGTGGCGCATGCCAATAGGATGTGCTGAAGGAGGCAGAGGCAGGAGTTCGAGACAGGGTATTTTTTTTGTTTGTTTCTTTTGTTTTTTCAAGACAGGGTTTCTCTGTGTAACAGTTCTGACTGCACTGGAACTCGCTGTATAGACCAGGCTGGCCTCAAACTCACAGAGATCTCTCTCCACATGTTGGGATTAAAGGTGTGGCACATGCCTTTAATCCCAGCAGTCAGGAGGCAGAGGCAGGCCGATCTCTGTGAGTTCAGGACCAGACTGCCCTACAGAGTGAGTTCCAGGATAGGCTCCAAAGCCACACAGAGAAACCCCATCTCAAAATACAAATAAACAAAAAGGTGTGTGCCCCCACACCGGCTCAGCTTGACTTCTGTAATCCCCCTGCTAACACTACTATCTGCTGAGGGCAAGCGTTCAAATGTGTTGCCAGGGTTCCACCAGCTCATCAGAAAACACACTGAGAAGCAGCCCCCTTCATCCTCTACAGCGGTGATTCTCAACCTGTGTGTCCGACCACTTTGACAAACCTCTACCTCCAAAAAAATTACCATTATGATTCATTATAGTAGCAAAACTAGTTATGAAGTAACAATAAAATAATTTTATGGTTGGGGGTCACCATAACATGAGGAGCTGTAAGGGTTGCAGTGTTAGGAAGGTTGAGAACCACTGGTCCACAGTTCCAGCCTCACAAGCTGGTCCTGGAGGATACCACAGAGCGCACAGAGGGGAGCACAGGGAACTCCCGCCCCCCTCCCCATTTAGCTCTGGAGTGAGGCCCACTTGTGCAGACAGCAAGTCAGGTCCTCTGCACGGCTGTCCTGATTTTTACCCACAGGCCAGGGAGGCTTTGTGCGCTCTCACTGCTCTGCATCTATTCCGGGTTGATCCCAGAATCCTCTGAAGCGTGGCTCTATAAAAAGCCACCGCTGACGCCTGCTAAGAGGCTGGGGAAATCTCCCCGGGCTTTGTGTTCAGAAGCCCTGCTCTCCTCAACGTCTAGCCCAGGGAAGGTGTCCATCCTCCCCCTCGGCTGAGAGAAGCACCGGGAAGGAGGGGATCTTTTATTGTTGTTTGTTTTGTTTTGCCAGACAGGTTTTTTTCTGTGTAACAGCCCTAGCTGTCCTGGAACTAGCACTGTAGACCAGGCTGGCCTTGAACTCACAGAAACTCACCTGCCTCTGCCTCTTGACTGCTGGGATTAAAGGTGTGTGCCAGCACCGTCCGGTGTGAATGGGCTTTTTAGCTTTTAAAACCTAAGTGACTGTTCGCAGGCCTCCAAACTCAGGTTTGTAGAGAAGTCTCCCATCCCCAGTTTCCTTTCCACCAGCTGCCTGCTTCCTGCTCCCAACCAGTGAAGGTTTCTTCAGTGTCCTCACAGACCTTGTCACTGGGAAGACAAGCAGACAGGATGGGCACTCCTCCTTCTCCCCACAGGTGCTCCTCCAGTGCGTGTCCATGCATAGCAGTATTAGTACAGAGGGGTTGCCTCGTCCTTCCCTATGGCTACGCTTGACATCACTCGGAAACCGACAGCTGGCTGCTCAATAAATCTGTCCCCAGACACACAACGAGACCATTTCTTTGCAGTTCCATGTGACGGAGTCCTAGCTAACAGCATGAGCAAAAGTCTAACTTTCAAAGCTGAAAGTTTGGTTAAGAGCACTTGCTGCTCTTGCAGAGGACCCAGATCTGACTTCCAGTACCCAAGTCTGGCTTCTCACAACTGCCTGTGACTCCAGCTCCAGGGGAATCCACACCTCTGGCCTCTATACTTGTACACACCCACATGCAGGTGCACACACTAACACATGACCTCAAATAACAAAAATAAATATATATATTTGAAAGTCTAACTTCCAAGGACATCTATAAAAGCTCTCAGGCGCTTCCCTGCCCAAGCCCTTCTGCAGGCCGAATGCATGTAGCCCATGCCCTTCTGCAGGCCTAATGCATGTAGCCCATGCCCTTCTGCAGGCCTAATGCATGTAGCCCATGCCCTTCTGCAGACTTAACGCATGTAGTCAATGCCCTTCTGCAGACTTAACGCATGTAGTCCATGCCCTTCTGCAGACTTAATGCATTGTAGCCCATGCCCTTCTGCAGACCTAATGCATGTAGCCCATGCCCTTCTGCAGGCCTAATGCATGTAGCACAAGTGAGTTCAAGAGTGCAGAGGGCAGAACCCCTCGGATGAAGGGAGCCAAGGGCTGGATGCATTTCAGTGGTGGAGCAGCTTTCTAGCTTGTACCAAGCTCCAAGTTTAATCCCAGTTCTGAAAGGAGCCTGGAGCCCTGGAGTGCCTCCTGCCCCCCACCCCCCAGCACCCTGTGAACAGTAGACAAGAGAGACGTTTCTATTGGGTGAAGACACTGAGAGGGGTCTAGGGGTCCTAGCAATTAGCATTCCCAGGGGCTCTGAGAGGAACAGGTGGCTCCTCCCAACTGTTCGCTCTTAGGAACAATACAGGATAAATTTACAGACTGGAAATTGGTGGATAAAAAAAAAAGAGAGAGAGATGAAGGGAGAAAGGAAGGGAGGGAGGGAGGGAGGGAGAGAGAGGGGGAGCTGGTTGGTTTCGCATTTCCTCTGAGATCTACCTGGACAGTGGCTGCTGCTGCTCAGTGCCTGGCTCAGATCTCAGGCAGGTGGTCTGGACTTCAGCACTGGGGCACCTGCTTCTCCACTCAGCAGGCAGTCACCAATGCCCACTGGAGTCCAGACTCTGCCTCACACACGGGCATGTGGGATTTTCAAGAGGTGTTGAGACATAAAACTTAGGTTTTTGGGAACAAAAGTCCCAGGTTAAAACTGGTGCCATTTTCTTTTCTTTTTAAATTTTAATTGTATTTTATGTGCATGGGTATTTTGTCTGTGTGCCTGGTGCCCATGAGAGCCAGAAAAGCGTGCTGGATCCCCTGGAACTAGAGTGTCAGACAGTTGGGAACTGCCGTGTGGGTGCTGGGAATCAAACCCGAGTCCTTAACCACAAGCCAAGCCATCTCTGCGGCTCCTCTACCACGTTCGTAACTAAATCAGACTCATGATGGTCTTCACTCAGTGTACAGAGGCATGATGCCGACTTTGTGAGTCTATGTGGGGAGCCCTTCCACAGCAGAATTTTTATTCACACAGTAGAATATTACATGAACACTCAAAATATGCCATAAGCAGTACCTGGCTGTGCATACCTGAAATCCCAGTACTCAAAAGATAGAAGCAGAAGGACCAAGAGTTTGAGGCTAGTCTCATCTACACAGTAAGCTTGGGGCCAGCCGGGGACCCATGAGACCCCGTCTCAAAAGAAAAAAGAAGAAGAGGAGGAAGAGGAGAAGGAAGAGTAGGAGGAGGAGAAAGAGAAGGAGAAGAAGAAAGAAGAGGAAGAGGAAGAGGAAGAAGAAGAAGAAGAAGAAGAAGAAGAAGAAGATGATGATGAAGATGAAGATGAAGATGATGATGATCCAGCACTTGGGAGATTGAGGCGGGAAGACCGCCATGAGTTCTGGGCTGGGCTACATAATGAGCTCTGAACTAGTCTGGGATATGAATCAAGACCCTGTTTAAAACTAGCTAACATGAAAAAAAAACACTGTGTGTGTGTGTGGGGGGGGTGCTACTACATTTTGTTTTGACATTAGAGGGAAAAAAAAGATTAGGGGAGAAAAGGGATTGGAAGGCAGAAACTGTACCTCCCCAGCCACCAAGTCCACAGCCAGGACAATGTCATGCCTTCTAGGAGGGGTCTTGGGACTCCCTTAGAAGCCTTCTTAGCTACTTGCCTGAAGTAGACAAGTTGCTGTTCCTCAACACCCTGCCCTTGCGAAGGAACTGTCCCCTCTAGCCATGTGGCAGAGTGGGACCCTTCGTCCTGGTGTCCTAGCTCCTCTGACCGGAAAAGTGGCATAGCTCAGGCAGGCCAACCCGAATACCCTCTCGCCTGGCACAGCGACTAGGCCATGCAGACTGTGTCATCCACACAAGCCACAGCCTAGAAGCTGAGAGAGACTTTTCTTTTGGATTCTGGGGCTGTTTGGGCACAGGCCTGGGTTTTAGCAACTATCTTTCTTGCTTGGAATCTGGTGAGAATGAAGGGCACACATGCACAGGGAAACTGAGCCTACAGAGGGGGCATCAGGGTGCAGAGCTGCCAAGTCTGAGACCCTAGATCCCACTATGCCAACCTGATGTCTCCCGGTGCTCTTGGTGGCTGTGAGCCAGTAAGGCTGTGAGGAAGGGGTAGCTCTGGGCCATCCCAACTGCTGTCGTACCTTCAGGGTCATCAGGTCCAATCCATCAGGAAAGATATTGAGGACCGTCTTCCCGCCAGAGGCGTCCTGCAGGATCTGCAGCACCCGCACGCACTCTCTCACCCGCTGGTGAACCTGCAACACAGCCAGTCTGCTGGAGCATCCCATAACCACAACTCAGCCCCCACAGAACTCAGCAGGAGAGGGGGTCTGCCCACTGCATCTCAGCAGACACTGTGGTCCCTTGCAGCTCACACGGATACTGAGATCGTAGAGAGTGGACCCAGGAGTTTGGATTCCACTAGCCTACCCGCAGGCCCACCAGGACGGCCACACGAGAAGATGTGCATGAGAACATTCTGCCAACAGAAGGAGCTGTCAGAGTTCTTATTATTCTCAAGCCTTTGTCTGCCACCCCTTCTCCCGTTAACCCCGCCTTTTAAGGACTGACCCCGCCCCGCCCCTAACAACCAGACAATGGGTTTATTTGGTGGGAATTTTTCTCTTGCCTCTTTCTCTGCAGGCTAGGAATCCTTTACCAGGAATTTGCACACTTGAGCTTGGCTCTGCGATGGAGCACCAGGGAACACCCAGAGCCTGGTCCCTTGCTGATGGCTAACTATCAGCAGGCAGGGTCTGGCAGGAGCTCAGAAAGAAAGTCAGCCTGCAGACGGGAGTTATGCAGAGACAGGGATGGACTGGCCCCCTCTGAGAGCAAGTTCCATGGCTGTGAGGCTGCCCCAGAGGTCCCACTCACCTCACCTCCTACCAACGTGAGCCAATCAGCTCTGCTGCCACCTAAGCAGGCTTAAAATGGACTCTGTCAACCTCAGTAGCCCTGTGAGTCATACCTAATCTATTCTCACGGATGTGGGGAGCTCAGGCCACTACACTGAGGCTTTTGAGAAAGAAAAGTGGTTAAAAGTCTTGCTTGTGGTTGACTGAAGGTTCATGTTAATGGCCTGCTCCCCCTGGGGATGCTATTAGAAGGTGGAGTCTTTAGAAGGCAGGGCTCAGTGGGAGGTCTTTAAGTCACTGGGGACCTGCCCTGAAGAGGGATTGGGGAGGTCACTACACCCCACCTTCCCTGCCATCTGGGATTTTCACCAGAGGCCCCAAGCAATAGGTCCACCTGACGTTGGGCTGCCATCTCCAGAACTAGGAACTAAAAACGCTGCTCCCTTGTAAGGTGATAGCTTCAGGTATGCGCTGGAGAGACGGAAAGATGGCCAGAACCACGATATGCTGTAGAACCAGCCGGCCTCCATCTTAGGTGTAAAAGCCATCTTACAGTAAAGACAAACTCGGTTCGCTCCTGTTTATGATTATACCTGTTTCTCACCTAGGCCCCACCTGTAAGCCTCACTGCAATGGTCTGTACTGCCTGTTCCGGAACGGCAGTCATGTCTTTGCTTCAAACAGTTCTTTATAACCATTTCACAACCCTTCTTCACTTCAAAAGATTATATGACCGCCTACGACTACCTTGTTATGACTATGACTACGTTGTTATGACTGTGACCGCCTTGCTAGGCCCATTTTGCAGCCATGTCTTTGTTCCGGGAGGGACTAACTTGTTACGCTTATTCTCAACAACTTTGCCCACCAAACCCCCCATTTAGAAACCCACAGGCTGCAAAAGACTTGGCTTCCTCACATCTAAGGCTAATGTCTTGAAACTTACCTTGGGGAGGCAGCCCGTGTACAGGAGTAAAAAAGCTTACTTTAATTACTGGCTTGCTTTAATTTGGCCGTGATGATTTGGGTCCCATCTTTGGATTAACGACAGAGGGTGTGAATCCACCTCGCCATTCTGATCGTGGTACTGCGACTATGCCACCTGGCACAAGCCTACCTGGGGATTCCTAACGTGGAACTCCTTCTCCCCTTCCTTGATTCGGCGGAAAGGGATCCATTCCTCCTCCAGCGATTCAGTGGGCTGGCTCTCTTGCGGGGTCTGCTTGCAGAAGTAGGTGGTCGAAGCTGACTGGTCCCTGAAGCACACGTGCAACCAGAAAGAAGACAGCGGTGAGCTTATTTCTCCCCTTTATCCGCGCCCTCCCCTCCGACCATGATACGTGGGCTCTCTGCTTGGCTGGCAGGTAAGGAGATGGGGGCATGCGTAGGGGAGCAGAAGGGCTGGGGACAGACCTGGGTTTGAGCCCATTGTCACTTTCAGCCAGCTACTGAGCATCTTTTAAATGGATATGATAACTGTTTTGTGTGGTCATTAGAAATAATACGCGGGGAGTCAGGGATGTGGCTCAGGGACAGAATGTTTGCTATGCGTGTGGGTCTGAGGCCCCAGCACCACAAACAGAACTACAGAAATAACACATTAACAGTGACTAGCCTGTACCCTAGCTCACAGGCATCCACCTGACCGCAGTTGACTGGAATCCGCTAACCTGTGCTCCGGGAGAGCAACCACGAAGCCCCGGGAGGCCAGCTCCATGCTGAAGGCCGAGTACAGTGCCCTGGAGAGCCACGGAGAGAAGAGATCAAAACCACGGCCCAGCTTCACCCACACTCTGCTGGCGGTCACCTCAAAAGACTGGCTAGGTAGTTGTCACGGGTGGTCCTCTGAGTACTCTCCCCAGACAAGGCAGCCCTCATCCCAGGGCTCCGGGGTCCATCCCGGAAGGCAGGGCGTTTGCAAGTCAATCTTCAACCCGAGTTGCCTTTCCACCCCATTGAGTCAGTCTACCCCAACCCCAGCTAGATTCTAACTATGCTAATGGATTTGTGTGGACACGTTCCTGTGTGTTAACATGTATGTACACGTGTGTGTCTGCATGTGAAGGCCATGTTGTCGGGTGTCTTTTTTCAATCACTTTCTACCTTATTATTATTATTTTCAGTCAGGGTTTCTCATTAAACCTAGAATACATGGATTCTGTGAGACTAGCTGGCCAGAGAGTTCCAAGGAGCCTCCTGCCTCATCCACTCCTGAACTGGGGTTGCAGGTGTGTGTGGCCATGGTCAGACTTTACACAGGCTTTGGGGATCAAACTCAAGTCAGTCTCATGCTTGTACAGAAAGTACTAAACCCACTGAGCAGAGTCTTATTGGATAGCCCAGGCTGTTCTGGACCTCTCTATGTATGTAACCCTGGCTGGCCTTGAACTCACAAAGATCCGCCTGCCTCTGTCTCCTGAGTGCTAGGATTAAAAACATGTGTCACAGTACTCAGCATAAATACTTTTTAAAACCTCATAAGGGGCCAGGTGGGGATGGTGTACACCTTTAACACCCGCACTTGGAAGGCAGAGGCAGGAAGATCTCTGTGAGTTTGAAGCCAGCCTGGTCTACAGAGTGAGTCCTGGACAGCCAGGACTACAGCACAGAGAAACCTGTCTCAAAAACAAACCACAGACAAACACCACACAAGGACCGGAAAGAAGGCTCATCAGGTAGAGGCATTTGCCTCACCAGCCTAGGATCCTGAACGTGGTCCCCAGGACGCACGTAATAGGAGAGCCCTTACTCCACACAGCTGTTCTTACCTTCCACCAATGAGTCCACAGCACCAAGTGATGATAATAAATTTTAAACACACAGACAAATCAAAAGCAATTGAAAATTTTCAAGCAGTCATGTTTTTTAACATTAAAAAGGGACATTGGGATGACTGCAGAGCTGGCTCAGCAGTTAAGAGACGGACTGGTCTGCTGGAGGACCCAGGTTTGACTCCTAGCGCCCACATAGTGGCTCACAACCATCTGTAACTCCAGTTACAAAGGATCTGGGACCCTCTTCTGGCCTCCAGAGGCACTGCATGCATGTAGTATACAGATATACATGCAAGCAAAACACCTATACACATTTTTTAAAAAAAGATGGGCTGTAACTCAGCGGTAGCACATTTGCCTAGCATGCACAAGGCTCTGGGTTCAATTCCCAGGACTGCAAAAAATACAAAGAAAAAGGTATTTTAGCCAGTTGAGGTAGCATATAACTATAACCCCAGAACTTGGAAGGCAGAGGTAGGAATATCAGGAGTACAAAGTCATCCTTAGTTATATAGTAAGTACAAACTACCTTGTGCTACATGAGTTGCTGTCAAAAAAGGAATGAAGGAAGGGAAGAAAGGAAGGAGGGAGGGAGGGAGGGAGGGAAGGAAGGAGGGAAGAAAGGGAGACAGGCAGGCAGGCCAAACATGCTAGTACACACGTGCTATCCTAGCACTTGAGACACGAAGGTGGGGTCAGGAGTTCAGGGCTAGCCTTGTCTATGCATCAAGATCTTGTCTCAAAACAAGTAAGAAGAAACTGAGAGCTGAAGAAGACGGCTCAGCTATTAGAGCACTTGCTACTCCAACTGCCTATCACTCCAGTTCCAAAGGATCTGGTGCCCTCTTCTGGCCACAGTGGACACTTGCACACAAGTGCATATACACACACGCAGACACAAACAACTAAAAAAATATTTTTAATCTATTTCTTAAGTAAAAAAGAAGAGATGGGCAGTGGTGGTGCATGCCTTTACTCCCAGGACTTGGGAGGCAGAGGTAGACGGATCTCTGTGAGTTCAAAGCTAGCCAGGTCTACAAAGTGAGTTCCAGGACAGCCAGGGCTACACAGAGAAACCCTGTTTCAAAAAACTAAAACCAAAACAAAACAAAGAAAACAGAACAAAACAAAAAACAAAAAAAGCAAAAAGAAGTCTAACTTTACTGATCTATTTTATTTAAGCTATAATAGCCTGTTATACTTTTACCTTATTTCACCTGCTGTAATCTGTATAACCCACTCTAATTTCTAAATATAATAAAACTTAAAAAAAAATATTTATTTATTTATTTATTATGTATACAATATTCTGTCTGTGTGTATGTCTGTAGGCCAGAAGAGGGCACCAGACCTCATTACAGATGGTTGTGAGCCACCATGTGGTTGCTGGGAATTGAACTTAGGATCTTTGGAAGAGCAGGCAATGCTCTTAACCACTGAGCCATCTCTCCAGCCCCCTATAATAAAACTTTTAATAAATGAAATGTTATTGCAGACTTTTACTCCCATGCAGACTTTGTACTCTGGTGCACATTTTACACCGGAAGCATTTCTTAGCACTGACCAACCATCTTTTAAACCTTAAAGACTCACACAGAGCTGACAGCTTATAGATCAAACAGTCCTAACAAATGAAGCTGCATCACATAAGAGTATCCCAGAGATTTTCTTTCAAAAATAGAGTGCTCCTTTAGATTGCCTGGGATGCAGACATAGATTGGAACAAAAGCAGCCCCCATAGGGCATGAGATAACTTTATAATGGAAGCCATACATAGTAGAGCAAGATTATAAAGTCTGGCCGGGCAGTGGTGGCGCATGCCTTTAATCCCAGCACTCAGGATGCAGAGGCAGGCGGATCTCTGTGAGTTCGAGGCCAGCCTGGTCTACAAGAGCTAGTTCCAGGACAGGAACCAAAAGCTACGGAGAAACCCTGTCTCGAAAAATCAAAAAAAAAAAAAAAGATTATAAAGTCTGGTTCTCTGATACATTCATGTAACTGTGACGTCAGCCCTAAACGTCTGTCTTTGGTTCCCCTCAGCCACTTCTTTGTGTTTTGATGCAGGGCTTTATGTAGTCCAGGGTGGTCTCAAAATCACTGTTTGGCAGAAGATGACCTTGAACTCCTGATCCTTCTGTTTCTAGCTTCTAAGTGGTGGGTTATCAGCAGATGCCCCTGTGCCTGCCCTTCTAGCTGCCTTTAACTGAGAGAGAAATAAAGACGTTTTGTTTGTGAGTGGGTGTTGCTTTCTTCTTTTGCAGCCTATGCCTAGTTTACACTTGCGATGCTCTGGGCCTCTCGGGGGCCGTGAGTATGGGCGTGTACAATGTGCCCGGGGAATGAATGAATTTGATCATGCTCTAGACCCTCATATCTGGTGTGGTCTGTTAAACATACCTTCACAACCAAGGGAGAGCCGATTTCTAAGGTTTCCTTCCAGCGTCTCCCAGGCTTCCAGAGAGGCAGTGAACTGGATGAATGACTTTGCATCCCTTCCCGGTGTGTACTGTGTGATGTAGACAAGTTGCTGCTCGCTGCTCAGGGTCCAGGCATGCCTATCTGCCTACTTCAGGGGGCCGTGTGGGGACCACGGGGAGCAGTGGCCTTCTGGAAGCCAGCTAGGTGACATTTACAGGCACAGGCTCCTCCCTGGGAGCACAGGGAGCAGTGGCATTCTGGAAGCCAGCTAGGCAGTATTTACAGCTCAGGCTCTTCCCTCGCATGGGAAGCTACCCATCCGTGAACAAGGGAAGAATTTCAAGGTGAAATTAACCAGAGAAACTAAAAGGAAAATGTTCTTTGACCCCCTCCCTCTTCCTCTTGGAATTTCACTCAGGTTAATGAAGGACGTCTGTACGGGCTCACTCTGGTCTACTGAGGGCTGGACTGTCCCTAGCTTCCTAGTCAAAGGGTCACCTCCAGATCACGTGCTCACTGCTCTCTCCAGCGTAGCCATGAGTGGGGAATGCCTGTTTCCTAGTTTCTTCTCTCTGATAGGCCAACACACACACACACACACACACACACACACACGCACACATGCACACGTACGCACATACACACACGCACCCGGCTCTGAAGGCTGAGTGTGACTCTCATACTCACAAGCAGGCTCGCTATCAGTTTACTACAAAAGAAACCAGAATAGAAAACCACACGCTCGCCTCCCAGCCTTAGCTTCACACCTAATCTCCACTGGGTCCATCTAGTTGCTTTGTCTGTACGCCACTTGCTGCCATCGCTAACTGGCCAGTGACGTTTGTACACCAGCTCCTCTAGCATGAGTGACTTTCTGAATGTGTCTATGTCTGGATTTCCCACCTTCCTTTTGTGCCAAGGGGGCTGCACCCAGCCGGTACTTAAGAGAGGTTGGTGAATGAATGGGATCCAGCAGAACAGCCCTGTGTTCCTTTACGAATGAGTATTCCCTGGGAAACTGACTCCAGACACTGTCATACGCATGGGGGCACAGAAGACAGGCGTGGTGTCTGCTTTCACAGAGGCTACTCTAGCAGGGAGGACAGACACTGGAACACAATTACACAAGTGACAGATGCTCTGTGGGGCTGTCTCAGCAGCCAAGAGGGAGCACGGCTCTTGCAGAGGACCCAAATTCCCAGCATCCACCTCGGGAGGCTCACAACCACCTCTAACTCCAGCTCCAGGGGTCTGATGCTCTACAGTCTTCCTCAGGTACCTATGTTCAGGTACACACACACACACACACACACACACACACACACAAAACACATGAACGCACATGTAATTAAAAAACTAGAATAAATCATTTTTCAAATACGCTGCAATTGTGTTTAGTACTGAGAAGGACATAGAGTGCTTGGAAACTCAGTCTCACAGAAAAGCCAGGATGGGCACCCTCAGAAAGGGACAAACCAGGTGTGCAGTGTGCACCTCCAATCTCAATACTTGAAAATGTAAAAACAGAATTAAGTTTTAAAAAAGCTATTAAAATGCTTCATTTAGGGCCTGGAGAGATGGCTCAGTGGTTAAGATCACTGGCTGCTCTTCCAGAGGACCCGGGTTTGATTCCCAGTGCCCACATGGTGACTCACAACCATTTGTAACTCCAGTCCCAGGGGATCTAACACTCTGAAAGAAAGAAAGAAGGAAGGAAAGAGAGAGAGAGAAAGAAGGAGGGAGGGAGGGGAAAAAAGAAAGAAAAAAAGGTTTCATTTAGAAGAACACTGATGTACTCAACAAATGTTTACTGAGACCTCAATCTGCCAGGCACTCTTCAAGATACTAGCAAGGTCAGATCCGGGCTTCTTTTGGTGTAAGACAGGGCATCACCACACAGCACCCACTGAACTGAGGACCCTGCAGCTTCTGCCTTCCAGACTGACCAATGTGAGCCACTACACTCCGCCATCTTGAAAACAGATCTCCTTGCCTGTAGTGCAGACAAGAGCTGGAGGGTTGACAGCGTCTGAGACGTGTAGCATTCTGGGATATAAAGCCGCGTGTATATATTACGGATGAACCGACAGAGAGTGCACTAACACACCTAAGGGAGAGCAAGCAGACTACACCCCATGGTGTGGACAGAAAGAGCCCTGGGAGCCCAATGTCGGGGAGAGAACTGGAGGGCTGTGCACCTAGCAGGAACCAGTCCAATAAAAATCTCATAAACCACCACGTGGGAGACCACGGATCCAGTTGGCAGATGTTGAAACCCAGGCTCAGAGAGTATTAGAACTTTCTCCAGCCCTTGTGGTATACAACTGCCAGGGGTAGGGTTTGCAGGTTAGGTAGCACAGGCTAGCATGTCCCCAGACGACCGGAAATTAATTAAAAATCCATGGCATATGAATCCAAGGTGTTTCTGGCACTGCTTTGCCCAAGCTGTATCTGGAAACTTCTCTGCCGCCTTGGGCTCTGCACGCACGTGTACTATGCCATGCCATCGTGCCTGGCTATGTCAAAAAGGCTACCGGAAACACCTGGGCGCAGATTTGATATTGCTGCGTCCCACGAATTACAGTGTTTTTACCGTACAAAGATCTCTGTTCTTCTGGGCCTAATCACAGAAAACGAAGACCTTTCGTGTTTCCACCATCATTCCTCCATGTGTTGGTATCAAGTTAGTCTAGTTTTGGATTGGATTGGATTGGATTGGAATGTTGGATTTTTAAAGACTGGCACCTGGGGTGGCTGGAGAGATGATTCAGTGGTTAGGGAACACTGGCTGCTCTTCCAGAGGACCCAAGTTTGATTCCCAGCACCCCACATCAGGTGGCTCACAGCTCTCCGCAACTTCAGCTCCACAGGACCTGACACCTTTGGCCTCCGTGAATACTCGAAATCACACGCACATAGCTACAGGCACATACCCACACGCGGACACGCAATCAACATACATAATTAAAAAGAATAAAAATAAATCTTGAAAAAAAAAAGGACTGGTGTTTGGGATGCTAATTTGAGTTTCACACACATAAAAAAAAAGTGTTAAATGAATCTTGGCTTGGGATTAAGATGAATTTCCAATTTCTGAAATGCCCCTAAGCATGGTTCTGTCATTTTGTACTAGGTATTTCTGTAAGCGACATTCTCAGCATAAACAAGTCCATCCAGCTCATAGAGGCAAATTTGCTTTTGCTTTTAATGAGTAGTAAAAATGATATGCGTGCCAAATCATTTTAAAATCAATTTCCTTGTTTGGGGGGTTAAGACAGGTTTCTCTGCATAGTCCTGGCTGTCCTGGAACTCATTCTGTAGCCTTGACTATCCTGGAACTAGCTCTTGTAGACCAGGCTGGTCTTGAACTCACAGAGATCCGCCTGCCTCTGCCTCCCGAGTGCTAGGATTAAAGGTATGTGTCATCACCCGCCCGGCTCCTTTATGATTTCTTACCAGCAAATGTTTGACCTGTATTCCTATTTTACATACTTTGACAGTGGGCGGTCATGTAATGATGTCCAGTAAAAGAGAGTCACAAGTGGAAAGCCTTAAGAAGTCCAGGTCTAGCCGGGCGGTGGTGGCGCACACCTTTAATCCCAGCACTCGGAAGGCAGAAGCAGGTGGATCTCTGGGAGTTCGAGGCCAGCCTGGTCTACAAGAGCTAGTTCCGGGACAGGCACCAAAGCTACAAAAAAACCCTGTCTCGGAAAAAAAAAAAAAAAAAAAAAGAAGAAGCCCGGGTCTAGGGAGGGAAGGCCCAGCTATGCCAACGGGCAGATGGGCAGTAAGGTGGCAGCAGGTGAGACACCTGTTACTAGACCCTCTGAGACTGCATTAAGACACGACAACCCTCACGATGCAAGGGACAAAGCTCTTACCTGAAGCCTCCCAGGCCATGGGACAAGATGATCAAGGGGTATCCAGATTCCTTTGTCTTAAAGGGGCCATTCCAGCTAACAGGCAAGCGACAAGATCCTGGCAGAGACATAGGCTGTAGCATCTCTGGCTGCCCGGAACTACAATCCCAGGGGCAGCCTGAGTACAGGAAGGGGTGGGCATTTGTGGTCCTCCTCTCACCAGGGGGAAAAAATCCACAGAGGCAGTACTGAAGAAGTCTGGGGCAGATGTGCAAGATGCCCGGATCATGGGGACACCTGGGGTGGGGACTTGGGATGAAGGAGGCAGAGTGGCCCAGAGGGCATGCTGCAGGGGTGGCGATGCTCCCTGGGACCAAGACTGTCTGCTATAGCTGCTGGGGTGGCAGTGGAGCGCACGACTAGTGGGATGTGAGGCAGTGGCAGGGCACGGACCTAGCATGTATGAGGTCCTGTGATCTATAGAGCAGGTAGGAATGCGTGCTAGATTTAGGAATCGCAGCCATGTCCCCATCTGATGCTCCAAACGCTGCACTAGAGGCTCTTCCCATACCTGGCCCCACAGCTCTACAAAGCCTGGCAGGCGAACAGGGTAAGGAACTTGCCTAAGGCCCCCTGTCAGTACATTACAAAGCCTGGATTGGAAGCGATGACCCAAATTCTCACACATTCAAATCTCTCCCATCTCTCCATACCAAGGACTGGACTGTACAAGCTTAAAATGACTGTGTCTGCCTAGGTTTCTCCTGGGGACAGAAACAGGCCACTGGGAAGGGCCCCGGGCCAGGCAGCCTTACCGAAGCCCAGGTTGAACAGAGACCCCACCCAGCGCTTGTTATACTGCAGGTAGTCAGCCAGGCCCAAGCAGTACTCATAGCGGGGAATCCACAGGGGCTGCTCGTACTTCTCTGATGCTTGGCAGGGGTAGAAGAGTCGGAAGAAGCTCCCCTGGGGAAAAGAAGAGAGCAGCAACTGGGCCAAGAAGCCTAGACACTGGGAGTCAGCAGGAGCCAGCACCAGCCAGGCTGGACTGCAACGTAGAGAATCAAAGGCTTCCTCAAACCCAGAGACAATTTGTTGTGAGCATGAAGAACATATAGCTAATGTTCTTCCAGTTGTCAGGCTGCATTTTAAATACATCCCGGAACGGCACCACGCCAAAACATCACGCGCTCGTGGGCCCAGGCTTGGTGCCAACGGCGGAACTGGATTTGCTCTTCGGTTGAACAGGGTGGCACATTAGGTCACCCAGGCCATTCTCCCAGGCTGCCTCTCAGGAGGCAGCAGGATGCTTGGTCAGAAGGGAGCAGGAGAGAGGTTACCAGGAAGTGGGTCTCTCACAGGCCAGAGGAGAGTCCACCCATCAGGAACAAAAACCTAAGAACCTGTGGGGCCCTGGTGGCACACGCCTGGAGTCCCAGAGATGGGAGGACCAGGGGTTTATTTAGGGCTGACTTTGGCTACATTTCCAGTTGGAGGCCAGCTACATGAGAAACCTGTCTCAAAAAAAATGTTTAAAAAGGAGGAAGAAGAGGGGGAAACAAAGAGAAAGAAACGCCTAGAAACTGGCAGGAGGTTCAGAAGGTGGGAAGCAGATGAAACCAGGAGATACCATCCTCCCACCCAAGGCACAGAGTCAGGCCAGTATGCAGGGCCCCTGTGCCCCCACCCCTCCGCCTACACTCGCCTGAGAAAGAACTGAGTTTCCCCGTCAACTGGGAAGGTTCTAATATTTTGAAAGAAGAGTTTTTTTGTTTGGTTGGTTTGGTTTTTTGGTTTTTCGAGACAGGGTTTTGCTGTGTAGCTTTAGAGTCTGTCCTGGAACTAGCTCTTGTAGACCAGGCTGGCTTCGAACTCACAAAGACCCGCCTGCCTCTGCCTCCCGAGTGCTGGGATTAAAGGTGTGCACCACCACTGCCCAGCTGAAAGAAGAATTTTTTAAAAGGCAGGAAGACAGGAAAAGAGGCCTAAGGGCTGATACCCAAGCCCAGCTCACCTGTACCCCAGGCCCCCAGAACTTTGTGCTTGGACCTACAGTGGTGAAGACCCCACATGGGCGGGACTCGTGGGGTAGTGCAGGGACGGAGCTTGGGACACCTACCTCAGGACTCTGACCCTCCATCACATCTGTGCAGCCAACATGGTGGGGTCCTGAGATGGCTGGGAAGCACACAGACTGTCCGGTCCCCATCTCATCACCAGCGGGATCAAAGCCTGCGCGTCCTGAACTTGCCGCCTGGAGAGCAGAACACAGAATAGCCTCTTGCTGGTCTCTTCTTCGCTGTTGCTCCTCTAGGTCATGCGCCAACCCTATCTACTTCCTGGCGCCCTTATCACCCCAACCTTCCTGTCGGCCACTCAATGCATCATTTACGCTCACGATTTGCCAATATTTACAGGCTGGCTTTGTGGCTGCTGTTTTTGTGACGGTGTGCGCACGTGTGAGCAAGTGTTCCCCTCCCAGCCCTGCAGACTGCATTCTTCGTTTTCTTCTGGTGGGGTGAGGAGAGGATAGCCATGAGCTAATCCTCAGTTCCCTCAAAACCTACAAACACAAGGGCTGGGGGCATGGTTCAGTTGGTAGAGTGCTTGCCCAGCCTTCAAGGACATCTGGTTTCAATTCCTATCACTGCATAACACAGTTGTGGTAATAAACACCTGTAACCCCATCATTGGGGAAGTGGTGGCTGGAGGATTAGGTCAGGGGCATCATTGAGCCACATCATGAGTTCAAGGGCAGCCTGGGACGCACGAGGTCCTGCCTCAGGATTAACACATGCTGATACTACACCTACCATGTGTTCACCCAGCAGTAACTGCTGTAGTGATCACGCCCAGACAACATTGTCCTTTTAAGGCTAAAAGCACCCACTGAGACCTAGCGTCTCCTACTGCTTCCTCTGCTAGCACTGGACTGTGCTCCTTACAGACACTGCTTCATCTAACCTTCTCAGCACCTCTCTGAGAAAGGAGGTATCAGGACCAAACTTACAGACAGTGAACCAGGGCAGAGAGCGTTACCCTGGCTAGGACGCGGTGGGGGGAGGGGGGAAGGCGGGGGTTAGCCCATAACCCACCCCGTTTAAAGCAATAAAGTTTAGATTCCTATCCGTGATAGCCAAAACCAACTGCACAGGCAGGGTCCTGAGCCCACGTGGTTTGTTTTGACATTATTCTGATTCCTCTTCTGGGAGGATCAGTGTGCAAGTCGGAGCAAGCCTGGGCAAGAAGAGACCTCAGAGGTGGCTGCCGTTAAGGCTCCTGGCAATCTCCCCTGGCCTCCACCTCTAAACTCACGCATGCATCACTGAGCAAGCCAAGGTCCTTAGAGACTCAGTGAGCTGCTCAAGGTCCCAGCATAACCATCACCACACACAGACCACCTGACTGCCAATCATCTGGTCCAGAAGGAAACCCCAGAGAGCCCCCAAAGAGTCTCTTGTGAAATGATGTTGGGAGGAGATGGTTTTTCTTTCTATTATCCGTTTTCCCCCTTTCGGCTTTCCGATGCACACTCCAAGACCCGCACTATCACAAAGAGGAGGGGAGCTAAGTTCTGTGGCAGCAGTGACGGTGCAGCTGGAGGGAAGGAGGAGGAGTCCCGGAAGGTTCCCCCTTTGCCGCTGGGGGCACCCACTGGAGAGCTAAGGCTGCAGCTACAGGACACATGTGGATCACATGACAGCAGAGTTGCTGCAGATCCTCTCATAAAGGAGAGACAAAATGCCACTGGAGTTCTGAGGAGAGGGAGAGACTACGTGTGTCCCCTGAGTGTGGGAGCAGAGAGCAGGGGGAGGCAGGAAAGACAGGGAAGTGTTAGCCAAAGGCCTGTGAGACACGGGGCAGCCAGTGCTGGCTGCAAGGAGCCGAAGGGGGCTGTGTGTACACCTTCCCATGCATCTGTGTCATGCACGCTGCAGGCATGCGGAGGTCAAAGGCCAACCCCACCCTTTGAGGCAGGGTCTCTCTTGAGCTAGACCTTGGCCACACAGGCTTCCCGGATCTGCCTGGCTGGCTCTCATTTCAGCAACACTGAGGTTGTAGTGAACCATCAAGTCTGGTTTGTTTTTCATTTCTAAAATTACCTTTATTTATTTAACGTGTGGAAACACATGCGTGACAGCACGCTTGTGGGTGCCGGAGGACAACTGGAGGGGTTGTTTCTTTCCCATTTTGAGGGTCCCAGAGATGTTTAGCAGCAAGCATCTCCCCACCTCACTGGCCCCTGGCTGCTGCTTCTTTAATGGCAGGGTCTTTCTACGTAGCCCAGACTGTCCTGGAACCTGCTGTGTACACAGGCTAACCTCGAACTCAGAGATCCACCTGCTTCTGTCTCCTGTGAGCCCTAAGGATCTGAACTCAGGTCCTCCCATCTGTGAGACAAGCGCCTTAGCAACTAAGCAGTCCTCCGTGAATGACCTAAGCCTGCAATCCAGCTCCTCTGCCATCTAGCTTGGGCATCTTAACCTAATCTTTCTAAACCTCATTCTGTATCTGCATAAGGGGATTTGGCTCAGTCCTGTGGTTGCTATGGAGATAAATGAAACCACGCAATTAAAGTACCTTGCACGGTACCTGGCAGGAGCAAGTATCTAGCTACGTTCGTCGATGGCAAGAAGAGCAGAATCAATAGCGTTTGGCAACTGTGCAGATCTGGGAGCCAGCAGGGAGGTGAAGGTGAGGCGGGGTCAGGGTTTTGTGGAAGGGGATTTAGGTCTCAGCTGAGCTCAGTCCTAGGGTGAGCATCAGGAAAGTCACAGAGGTGGGGGTGTAGAGAGCTCTGGTGATGCTGGCAGGCTTCTCAGAGGGCCCAGCAGCTAAGTTCTGCTTGGAAATAAAAATAAAAACCAAAAACGACAACTGACCAGGCTGGGGCTAAACGGAAACCAGCCTGAGTTCCCCAAGCTCGTGTCGACTGATGCCCAAGGACAAGATGGGGGCTAAAGGCCAATCTCACTTGCAAACTGCCACGAAGAGATATCATAAACGGCAAGGGAGTCAGTCAGGGGTGTCCATTGCTCACCTCGGCTCCACAATTCATGGCAGTGCCTAGCTGGGGCCCTCTCCCTCAGCCAGGCCCAGGGAGATCTCCTAGTCTGCTGGGACAAGTTGGCTAAATCTGGCCTTCCCTCCTGTCAGCTCTGAGCACAGCCCCCTCCCCCGAACTCCCCACAGAGGCTGCTAGGTGCAGTGTCTAGCCTGGCAGTCTCGGTGACCTGCTTCCCATGACATCCGTGGGAAATCTATGTCAGAGGTTTATGAACTTACTACCCAACCTCGCTGCAATCCCTAACTGTATTTCCTCCATTTTCAGGGAGAGAAAAGAAAAAAAGCACTCTACAAGCTACGCTCCCAGCTCCAAGTTAATGTTTTCAAGTCCCAGGTGTTTCCGGTCAACAGGATTTGAGGATCTCTGAGAGAGGGTCTGTCATTCAGACACGCATGGTCACACACACGCAACAAACCCTGAGTGTACCCTGTGGACTTTACCACCATCTCACCGCACAAATCGCCATGGCCACCCAGAAACACACGGGTTAATGTAGGCAAGATGGCTCGGCAGGCAAAGGAGCCTGCCTCCCAGCCCGATGGTCTGTGTTCAGTTTCTAGAATGTACATTGTGAAAGGAGAGGAGACGGACTGCTGGCCCCGCACATTCACCACAGTCCACAGGTGCTCAGTCACGCACAAATAATTAACTGTTAAAAGAATTACTTTCTCCAATAAGTGCTATTTAATTTTTAACACACGTATGCCTTTCCCCTTCGTGAAAACTCCACACTGCAAAGACCAAACTTTAGCTGGTGATGATGGCGCACACCCTTAATCCCAGCGCTCAGGAGGCAGAGGCAGGCGGATCTCTGAGTTTAAGGCCAGCCTGGCCTACAGAGCGAGTTCCAGGACAGTCACAGCTACATAAAGAAACCCTGTCTCAGAAAATAAACAACAAAAGTCATGCTTTCTCCCTGTAGTTCTTTGCTCCCCAGGCAGCAAGAACTCGCTCTGTTATCTTTAGGCTTTAAAATCTTCCAATTCTTCTCCTCGGTTGTTCTGAGGCAGGGTCTCTCTGGGTAGCCCAAGTTGGCCCCAAATTCAAGATTTCCCTGTTCACACCCTCAAGTGCTAGGATAATAGGCAGGTACCATTATATTCAGTTCAGTTAGTTTTTAATCTGTCGTGTTTATCAAAAGAATAAAGTTCTTATGCTACAGAAGGAAAAGAAAAGCTTTGGTGACTTTGAATTCCATCTCTGCTACTTCCCAGCTGGTTGAGAGCTACCTATCTATACGTGTGTGTATACATATACATATTTACTTATTTATTTAAATATTATATATATATATTATATAACATTTATTTATCTATTGGAGGGGTGCCATGGCAACCCATGTGGAGCTCAGAGGACAACCTGCAGGAGTTGGTTCTCTCCTTCCACGATGTGAATTCCTGGGATAGAACTCAGGTCATCAGGTGTGACCATGTCTTTATCCACTGAAAAATCCAGCCAGCCACATCTGTGAAATCTTCAACCGATGCCTTAACTCTAAACCTGTTATCTACAGCTACTCACAAGGTCAAAGATTAACGTGTGCAAAGTGCGTGGCACACTGAAGACACAGGGAAGATACTATCGCTCCGTGAGGCAGCTCTAACTATTCTAACTCTATGACTGCTCCAAGTCTAACGAAATTTCCTATATGGAAAACAGGGACACATCACATGTGATCCTTCAAGAAGGAAACTGATACGGCCTAAGACCTGGTACACTGTGATTACTCATGAGACATTAGCAACTAACTAGCAAGGCTGTGGTTCTCTTTTCAAACACCCAGCTGAGGCGTTCCATTTTTCCTGGCATAGGTTCCTTCGGCAAAATGAATCCTTCTCTCCCAGGTTTTCCATGCCTGAGACACACCCACCACTAAAGAGGCCCAGAAGAGCCCAAAGGGAAGGGATGGGGCTTTCATTGTAGCGTTGACCTGCTGGAGTTCTGCTTCCAGCGAGCAGCTCTGTCCCTCTGCCAGCCCCGTGGACTTTACATCACCAACTATTCCAAGAATAAGCACCCCTCTTGGGCTTCCTTTCAGACAAAGCTCTCTAGGGGTCATGGGCTCGGGGCCTGTCTGAGCTTTGGTCTCTGGAGGAAGTGAAGAAATAACCCGGTCATAGATGAAGACATCAAGATCTCAAGCGACAGGATTGAGCAACGAGGCGGCAAAACCAGAAAGGCTGTCCTGATAAGAATGTTCTAGGGCACTAACAAATGGCACAAAGAGAACCTCTGTTGTTTGTGGAGGCCGTGCAGTTTACAAAGCACTTTCACACACTGGAAAACAGAAGAAGGAAATGAGTTCCAGAGAGCCAGTGCGATTCGCCCAAGGTGTCGGCGGGTGAGAGTCCCCTGCTGCACTTCAAGTTCACAACACCAGGAGGAAGAATTTGGCAGTCTTCTTCCACCCGCAAGACAAACAGGACAAAGAGGAGTGGAGCGCAGCGTGGAGGACACAAAGCAGCCGGCGCTCAGGGACGTGAGGGTCAAGGTGGGAATCTCGGGGCGTGGGAGTGGCAGTCCGCGGTGACCCTAGGAGGGCTTAGGTGCGGGGTGGATTCTGACGGGACTTGTCTGAATAGGAAACAATGAAGAGCAAAGATTAGCGGGCAGGTTCTGAGACTGAGAGACAAGAAGGCCCCAGGCTGGAATACGAAAAGGTCTTTGGATAGCTCAGTAGAAAATTGGAGCTTTCGTCAATCAAACTTACCCAGTCAAGCTGGTCACTCTGAGGCAATCTTAGAAGGATTGCTCGACGGAAACCCGACACCGCCCTAGAGCCCGTGGCCCTCTGGGAGTAGTAGTTCCATTCATTCAGCATGCGAGTTTAAACCTATGTTCTGCCCCTAAGAGTTAAACTACAAGTCCCGAGGCGCACGCGATAGACCGCCTTGCCATCCCAGGACTACAATTCCCAGAGTTCCTGACTACACCCTGGAATGCGTGAAACCTGCCAAGGCCAGAGATACGGTGAGATTGCTCCCCCTGGTGGTCTGCGGAGCAGCAGCAGAGGTGACACGGCTCAAGCGGAGGGTTATAGTACTGGAAAGTAACCCTCCGCCTCACTGGCCCTCACATAGTTCCCAGGCGTGCCTGGAAATACACCTGGCTTCACTTTGTTCTCAGGAAGATGTGGAGACGGAGATTTGTTCCTGTAGACAGGTTGTTTCCTGTGAAAATATGAGACTGATTGTTTAACTTGAAGGTATGTCTCTGGCTGTCAAACACCCCTGTTGACACCTGAGATTTTCCATTGTTCTCAGAGGACCCACTTAGCAGAGCACAGGGAGGAGCCCGAGAGATCCGGGGATCCACATCTCAACCCTCCTTCTTCGATTCACCCCCATTTGCGTGCCCCGTGCTGGGTTTTTGGAGACACATGGATGAACAAGATACTGTCTCGAGGATCAACAGAATTTACCATCTAGCAGAATCCAGAGAAGGGTGGGAGAATCAGAGCGAGTGTGGGAACCTTGAAAAACACCCGCCCAAGCTAGGAGAAAGGGAACCGAGTCTCAAGATGCTTAAAGGAAGGGGAGAGGGGGCTGGAGAGATGGCTCAGTGGTTAAGAGCACTGTCTGCTCTTCCAGAGGTCCTGAGTTCAATTCCCAGCAACCACATGGTGGTTCACAGCCATCTGTAGTGAGATCTGGCGCCCTCCTCTGGTGTGTGGGCATACATGGAGGCAGAATGTTGTATACATAATAAATAAATAAACCTTTAAAAAAAAAGGAAGGGGAGAAAAGGAAGGAGTGTGGAGATTTCAGATGTGATGTAACTGAGTTCAGTCTTACAGAGGGAGGACGTGAGGGCTGGAATGTCCAGCAATAAATGCGAACAAAAACCGAATCATCCATGAAGCTCAACCATAGGGTACATATCTGTAGCCCCGGTGTTCAGGACACAGAGACCAGGCCTAGATCATATAGTAAGACTGTCAAAGTCCCACCATCGCGACACATACTCAACAGCTCTCTCACACATACCCAACGGTTCTCTACAACCTACTGAATGAGGCCCCAATTTCTTACCCTGGCATTTAAGTGGCCCAAACCCATTACGGTGTTGTTCATTTTACCCTGCTAAGAGTTCCGGTCCTCTACCCTGCCCAACCCCAGCTGCGAGCAACGAAGCCTCGGCACCCTGAGATGCCGCGGCACCCTAAGTTGCCTTGAGTCCTCATGGCTCCCTCTGCTCTTTAGCTTGTCCAGGTATTGTTGTATCTTGAAGTGCCCTGCCCTGCCCTGCCCTGCTCTGCCTAGTGGGCCCTCCTGTCCTGCTTCTAAGGTTCACTCTCTAAGACACTTTGATGACTCCCACGGTCCCAACCTCTGCTTCTTCTCAGTCAATGGAACAATTACAGACTCCTTGCTGGGTGTCTTTACCTTCACCTTATGACATCAACCAAGATGAAGGCTCTTTTTGTTTGTTTGTTTTGCATGTTTTTTTTTTTTTGAGACAGGGTTTCTCTGTGTAGCCATAGCTGTCCTGGAACACACTCTGTAGACCAGGCTGGTCTTGAACCACCTGCCTCTACCCCCTCCCCACCCAGTGCTGGGATTAAAGGCATACACCAACAAACTGAGCTCCTGGAGGCCAATGGTCCTACATATGTCGTCATCTCCATGTCCCAGCAAGTCACCAGTGTCTCGAATTCTGGTTTAGGTTTCTCAAGGTTCATTTCTCCTCCTGAAACATATCACCACCACCATCCCTCCAGGAGCCATGATAAGGTCATTAGAAGAGAGATAACAACAATACATTAAGCCCAAGATTCAATTAGAGCTGTGGTTGGTGGCAGTGGCAGAATATAAACATTTTAGGGTGAGCTGAGCGGTGCTGGAGTTGCTTTTAATCCAGCACTCAGGAGGCGGAGACAGGTGGATCTCCCTATCCCTCCCCTCCCCCCAAAAAAACCTGTGGACTAGAGCAGGCTGGTCCAGAACACTCACGGGTCCCCGGTCATGAGAGGAGGGGCTGGAGAGGTTGTAGTTCCACTGTCTACTCTCCAGTCAGGCATGCTGACCTCCAATACTGTAGGATTTCCTTCGAGGCAGCTACCATGCCGACCTTTCCCCTGTGCCTAAGCCAGGTTGAAGGAGATCTGATTGGGAACATACACAAAGCTGCTCTCTGTCTAGCAAGAAAGAAGGCAAACATCAACAGATTGGTAACTTGCCCACTATGTACTTTCTGATGAGCGATGTAACAGAAGAGTGTGGCTAAGAATACAGACCCCGCTCTCTGCTTCCCGAATAAGCTGAGAGCCGCTGTTCATTCTGGTGTCCATGGTCTTGTCAGCCCCAGTCATTCACACCAGATTTCACTGGTATTTGGATGAACAACTTTGGATTCCCTATTCCTCCTCCCTGCTGAATTAAGACCCTGCTTTCTAAAATCAAGGTGAAATTAGTACGTAACAAACAGCATTAATTTTCTTTTGCTTTTTGAGAGGAGGGTTTTACCATGTAGCCCATGCTAGCTTCAAACATACCTTCCTCTTCCTTCTGTCTCTCAAGGGCTGGGATCACTGACATGTGACACCATGCCCAGCCTAAACACTCTAAGTTTTTAAAATATTTTTGAAAGATTTACTTTTATCTTAATGAGTGTTTTCAGTGTATGTATGTGAACTACATGTGTATGTATGTATATATATATATATATACATACATACATACCTATGGAAGCCAGAAGAGAGTATTAGATCCCCTGGAGCTGGAACTAAAGATGGCTGTGAGCTACCATGTAGGTGCTGGAAGTAGAGCCTAGGTCCTCTGGAAAAACAGTGTATTTAATCTCTGAGCCCTCTCTCCTGTCCACTAAACATCTAATCTTAAATGTACAGTTCAAAACTGCATGTGAGCATGTGTATGAGTGTGTGTGTGTGTACAGTGCATGTTTGTGAATGTGTGTGCATGCATATGGACACAGGTCAGAATGTTGGATGTGTTACTCTGTCACTCCCCACCTGATTGCCTTAGACAAGGTCTCTTACTCACTAGAAGCTCGCTCTTTGTGCTAGGCTGACCTGCCAGTGAACGCCTCGGATTCGTCCGTCTCTGTCCACCTATGTTGGGGTTTTAGGAACATGCAACCATGCCCAGCTTTTTACATGGGTGCTGGGGAGTCAGATGCGGGTTCTCATGCTTATATAGCAAGTGGGCTTCCCCTTTGACTCATCTCCCTGGTTCCTCCAATTTTTAAAAAGATTTATTTTATTTTATGTGCATGGGGTGTTTTGGCTGCAGGTATGTAAAGTGCACCACGTGAGTGCCTTGTACCTACAGTGTCCAGAAGAGGGCGTCAGATCCCCTGAAACTGGAGTTACAGGCCTTTGTGATCTGTTCTGTAGGCTCTGGGAGCCCAACCTGGGGCCACTGAGGGCTCTGAACCGGAGTCATCTTCACGGTGCAGCGCCCCAACTCGCATTGTTTGTAGAATGATTCCAATAGCCGGAAAGATTGCCTCTGCAGCTTAAAGCCAGTCCCCTCCAGACCACTAGAGAGAGAACTTCCCTCCCACCATCATCCCAGGGTTTGGGGAGAGCAACATCGTAAATGTTGATCACCAGAGCCCTGGCTGGGAGTAGCAAGGACCACAGAGCCCTGGAGAAGAGCAATCAGAGACCTTTTCTACAAGGCAGAGAGAAGCTGGGCAGGCAGGGCATCCTGCACCTTGCTTCCTGACTCCTTCCAGGCCGTTGAGAGTTTACTTGGCCTCAGCAACATCCTGCTTCCCAGAATCTCTCACCAGAATTGGCTGGTGAAGACAGAGCCAGTTCAGAGATGCCAGAGGCCAAGGCAGGGCCCGATTCCCACTCCTGGCTTCTCTTTCTGGCTCCCAGCCCTGTTATCAAGGGTGCCATCAAAAGCCTGGCAGAGGCTTGCCTTCCTGCCAAGCCTAAGAAGGCCTGGAGGCACGAAACTCTCATGTGTTTAGGGATGGGGAGAGATGCCGAACAGGTTGGGAGCAGAGAGGTTACCATGCAAGCCATTAGTCCTTATTTACCCTCTGGGGCCGCTTTGACACAAAGGTAGCAGCCCTTGTCCAAAGCCCTGAACGCTTCCCATGTGTGGACCAATGTCCTCCTGCCAGCGAGATCCGTTCCTCTTCCACATGCAGCGACTGCTAGCCCCTGGCAGGCACACACCCGGTCTCCTCTCTGCTTTCTTACAATTTCACACTGCTCTCATCGCTTCGGCACCCTCATCTCTCCTGCCCGCCCCCACGGTGCTCCTCGGTGTTCCCCCACCCCCATGACTGTGCATGCAGTAGTGAAGTGGTCTCCTCCCCATGTGAGTCATAACAAAGCGTTCCTTCATTAAGTCTCTTTAGTCTGCTATTCTGTCACAGGGATGAGAAGAGTAGCCTAAGACAGCCTTGCGAGAAACCCAGGCTAGCCTTGAACTCATAGTAATTCTCCTGCCTCAGCAACCCGTGTGTGGATCATAGGTGTGTGCCATCATACCCAGTTTGGGTGGATTTTATTCTAAGTCTGATGGAAGCTACTGGGGGTTGGCTTTAAAATATTGGCTACAGGGGCTGCTGGGGAGATGGCTCCGTGGATGAAGAGCTTGCTACACAAGCCTGTAAATACCGGCTGGGTGTGGCAGCCCACCTGCAACTCCAGGAAGAGACGGAGGAAAACCGGAGCAAGCTGGATAGCTAGACTAGCCAGACAGGTTAGCTCTGGGTACGATTGAGAGGCCTTGCCTCAATGAATAAAGTAAAGAGTCGCTGAGGAAGACACCCAGTGTCAACCTTGGGTCTCCACATACATGTG